TTCGCTTTTCTCTCTTTTGTCTTTCTTTTCTCTTCCCTTCTTTCCATTTAAAGGCATTAGACATCAAATAAGGAGAAAAGCATTTCTAATCATGCACCTTGACAAAAAAAAAAAAAACTCTACATTTTAAATGCTATTAAATTATAGTAAATGGTTCCATTGACCTTTAAAATACCTAAAAGTTTCATAAGTCTATTTTAGAGGCAACACAAAAACATACAGATAAATCTCCTGTTCATCTCGAATTTTCATTTGATTACCATGATTTAAGATATATCATAAATGTTTTTATTTCACTTGATTTTTACTTGCTAGTCATGAGTGTTGCAAGAATAGACCTGTGTCACATTTTTTATTTAAAATACTGAACATTTCAAGCTCACATGGCCCAAACTCATACTGCAGTGATATTTCGGACTGTCTTTTCCATGGAGAAATGCATTCTAAGTACCAAACATTTACTTTTCCAGTAAATGGAAAAGTATTCTAAAAAGGAAAAGGAAATGAAGAGGAAACATAACCCATTTGTAAGCTGGGGACTGCCAGTGTACATTATACCTATGCATTAAACAATGATTAATTATTTGTGAGTGCATATAACACTTGGCAGCAATTTCAGGCCTCTAGGTTCTTCAATTCTAAATTTGTCTGTAGATTCCCACCTTACATTCATGGGCATGGGGTCTGTCTTAGGACTGTTGGGTAACTAATAACATCGAGGTCCTCTAAGATATGACAGTAAAATTTTAATTTTTCCCATTTTTAAATAGCATCTGGGAAGGAAAGTAGTTTTTGACTGGGGGTTTGAAAACATCCACTCTTAATATAAGCCACATTTATTGAATAATAAAATTGGGCCCCTGTCCATTATCTCTAAGTCAGTGGAAGAGCCCAGGGTGGGTCTGAGCCAGAGTGTTCTGGGGGAAAGAAACGGACACGTCTGCATTTCACGTTGTATATTTAATCAGTTCAGCGTCGCACCGAGCTCAACATTTTTTTAAGTAGTAGGGGAGTTCACAAAGTATTTATAAGCACATTCCCTATATTCGGGGAGAGTGCTCCATTCCCTGGAAACAGCTCCCCAGCGAGGCAGCTCCAGGTCCAGGTAAGTGGAGGGGTTGGAGCAGTTCGGGTGTCAGACAGGGCCAGTCAGTGGAGCCCTGGCTGACTTTCCGTGGGGACAAATCCATGGGGTCGACCAAAACACAATCAATGCAGATTTGGTGCATACTCACTATTTCACAGTATTATTTAGGGGACAGGTCTGATGTGCACCATTTAAGGATCGTTATTAAGAAAATGAAAGGACTCCTCATGTGACATTCTAACAGAATAAATTAGGAGCCTCGCATATCCCTTTGGGCGGAGTCCAGGTTACCTTAGTATGAGACTGCCGGACGTGGGCGGCTTCAGTAAATGCCCATGATCCGCCCAAACTCCTCCTTCATTAGTGGAAGCCACTGGTGTCATTGCCTTCTGTAGGTGGATTTCGAAATCTTACTACGGGGCCCATGGAAGCTCATACCCACCTGCCGAGCCTCCCCACGAGTGACGTGTAGACTGCCATCCACAGGCCAAACCCCACTTATTTTTTTCTAGGTAAAGGAAAGGGCCCTCAGAGGCCTTGTCTCACTCCTGGAGGGGGCGTGCTGGTGGGGGCGTCCACAGGACTGCGGGGGCAGCAGGACCTGAGATGGGGCGCCTGCCAGCCTCCAGGGCCTACCCTCTGCCTGCCTGTGCAGAGGCCTCCCGCTGCAGGACCGCCGTCTTGCGTTTATCGCCCGGTTGCCTCTCCTCAACGCCTTCTCTTCGCTTTTAGAGCCAGACTGAGGAAGCGCTAATCCCGGTGGCCAGGGTGCTCTCTCCTGGCTGCTCCCTGCCCAGCCTCTCTGGCCTTTGCTTTCTCTGAGCCGGGTGTGTCCAGGGCCGTCGACATTCCTTGCAGGAATTGGTTTCGGTCCCCAGGACTTCCTTTCCTAGGCACCCGCTCCCGCCTGTGCTGGCCCTTTTCACAGGAGGCACAGTCAGGGGCCATGCCAGGGACTCCAGATCTCGGTCGGTGCAGGACTCCAGAACCGCTTCTTCAGCTGTTCCTTTTCTTCCAGCCACATCACGGATTGAGCTCGCCTTCAGCGAAAACCCCAGAAAACTTTTGCTCACTAGCATGTGGGAAGCCGAGACACCCTCATCCTGATCGTGTGTTTTCAATTTCACTAGACCTTACATTTATGACTATTAGGTTTCAACTTTTGAGATCCAGTGTATATTTTGCAACTTGGCTCCTGCCGTTGCTGCGACCCTGTGTCGTAGCTTCCATGGAATCATAATCTGCTCCACTGCGTTCTAGAAGGCCCGAATCTCATTCTAAAAACGATAAGATGGATGATTAGAAATAATCCCAGGTTAAGGAGTGCACAGATCTTTGCAGCTTTCCCGTGTTTCTAGGGCAGGCTGGTGCAGACACAGGACAGCAACGAGAGCCTAGGGAATTCGCTTCCACCCAAAAGATACACAGCCCCTACCTGAGAATACGGATTCCAGACAGCTGAGCAATAATTAAGCACCATTGCCAGAACGGCCAACCTGTCTCTTTTATTTTCCACATCTCTTGTCTCTGGCAGGTGGGAGGGGTTAGCGGGAGGCCGCTCGGATGCAAGGTGCTGAGCCTCTGATCTCCAGTCTCGCAGGGCAGCACACTGGAGGGCCCCCACTGCTGGACTTCTCAGCGCAGGATAGCGTAATGCCAGGGTCTGGCGTGAAGAGACAGGTGGCACAGTCCAGCCTGGAGGCACATCCTCACTTCTGGGGTCTTAAAGTCTACCACTGAGGCTGTGGCCCATGTTCTAGTTAATTTATTTTATTCCTTTATTTGTGTGTCTTTCCTCCGAAGAGCTAGTAGGAAAACACTGGCAGGCAGGCAGCCCTCTGTATCCATGGGTTCTGCATCTGCAGATTCCGCCAACTGTGGGATGAAAATACAGTATTTGAGGAATGTGTAACCCTCGGATATGAGGGCAGACTTTTCACATCTGTAGGTTCCATGGGGCCAACTATGGGACTTGAGCATCCACAGATTTGGTACCTGTGGGGTCCTGGAAGCAATGCCCTGTGGAACCCGAGGGACATCTGTATAGTGGTTAGGACTTTGGGGGCTGGAGCCAGGCTGCCTGCAGGTACCTCCCAACCCTGCCACTTGCTAGCTGTGTGACCTTAGAAAGTTTTCAACCTGTTTGTGCCTCAGCTCCTTCAGCTGTAAAATGGGATAGTAATAGTTCTTCTTTTATGGAGTTGTTGTGAAGGTTAAACAGCTGTGTGCTGGCATGTGGTGTTGGGTCAGGCAGAGCCTCACTCCATGGGATGGCTGCACTGGGACTACCAGGGTGTCGACACATACGACAGTTGACAGGGGCAACCATTGGCGCGTGGCTCCGCCTGCCACGTCCCATCACTGTCCTCCCCTAACTTCCCATGTGTTAACTCTGATGGGCCAGTGCTGTGGTGGCTTCCGTTTTTCACAGATGAGAAAATCTTGCCCAAGATCTCAGAGCTTCTGAATGGTAGACTGAGATTCCAGACCAGGTAGTTTGATTTCGTTGTCTGGACTCTAGATCTCCAAATAAGAGGACTTTGTTGAATAAAACAAATTGAGAGTGTTATTAACGAAGTTGCTTATTTAAAACAGTTGTTCTCAGTCCTGAGTATACATTAGAATCCCCTGGAGGGCTCACTGACACACAGATTGCTGGGCCCAGCTGGGGTTCTGAGCCAGCAGGTCTGGGGTGGCCCCTACAATCTGGGCGTCCAGCAAGTTCTTAGGTGATCCTGATGCTGCTTCTCCAGGGACCAAACTCTGAGAACCATTGATTGAAAATATCCATCAAAAATTATGCAGTCTTGATTGTCATCTATCTCGTTGACTATTTTACTTGGCAAAATTTACCTGCCTGCTCTTTTTAGTCTGCACAAATGATGATTATAAAATGATGGCTTTGGGCATAACTGCAGGTTCTGCTAGTCCTTACGGTGTTGGATTCATCGATTCGCTGTTGGTGTCTCAGAAGCATGCAAACGAAATGTCTCTTATTTTCTTTAGGAAGAAAAATATGCAGATGACGTTATCACCCTGCATGTGACTTAGAGGAGATGATGACACAGAGTAAACAGTGGAGATTGTGCCCGTTGACACCAGTCTCTCTCACACACACACACACACAAACACACACACACACAACCATGTTTGTCCTTGGAAAGCTCTTCCAGAAATCGGCAGTCATAAACTATCCCAAATAACCCTTCAGCAAAAGGAAGAAATGTAAGAAATGACACCTCTCCTTGGGAACACAGGATTCGTTTACGTCATTGTAAGATAAAAAGGAATTAGAATGATCATGTGCCAAAGAGACAGAAGGGTCCTCCAGGAGTCTCGCAGGGACCTGTGCTCAGAACTCTGAGTGTGCGTTTGTGAGTTTTGTCCCAAAGTCCATCACTATTTTCATGAAACGAAAAAAAGAAATTTTTCGGACTTGATAACCACTGTCTTAGGGATTTTGACAAACAAGCTCACACGTCCTAGCGAGTCGGATCGTGTGACCCAAGCCATTGCTCACACTCTAGGGCAGGGAGCTCGTCTGGCAGAGCGGGTGTAGGATCTGCCTCAGACCTGTGGATCCGGTGACCTTAACCTGCCTAAAGTGAGGGCCCAACTCTAAAGTGTGGACTTTATAAACAGCTTTTTCATGCATTTTCAGACACTCGCCATTCGGGTCTGTGGAGAGGCTGGTAGGTCCTCCCTACAGCCTGCACCCTCGCCCGTCCACCATGTGCCGCAGAGCCCGCTCCAGGCCGAACACAGAGGGAGCTCAGGCCAGCCCCGTTGATATATGCCAAGAACGTCTGTTTAGTAGCTCGCCGCATCTATTTGATTGTCTTTTTGCTGCTATGTTGTTTCGTTGTGGTTTTTTGCAATGACACTGAGTGGCCTCCTGTATTGTGTCTTTCAGCCGGTAATGTTAAAGTAGAGACTCAGAGTGATGAAGAGAATGGGCGTGCCTGTGAAATGAATGGGGAAGAATGTGCGGAGGATTTACGAATGCTTGATGCCTCGGGAGAGAAAATGAATGGCTCCCACAGGGACCAAGGCAGCGCGGCTTTGTCGGGAGTTGGAGGCATTCGACTTCCTAACGGAAAGCTAAAGTGTGATATCTGTGGCATCATTTGCATCGGGCCCAATGTGCTCATGGTTCACAAGAGAAGCCACACCGGTAAGGCCGGGAGCAGTTTTTCCTTCAGTGGCCTGGAGAAGGTCTGTGGGGTGAGGAAGGAGGAAGATCCTGTCTTCCTCGAGGGTTTCAAGCATGTTTCAAACTGATCGGCAGCACAGGTGTTGCAATGGTCGGGTCCAGCTGGGGCTGAGTTATAGTGTTCCTATTCCCGAACAACGTCTAAAAGGACTTCTCAACACATACCACCTCGACCCCACAAACAGAACCAGGTAAAAGTGAACAAACCATTTGAGAAGTCTGTCGAGGGCCTGATACCATACTTGACAAACAGCCTTGGCTGCACCCTTAGGTTGCACGTGCTAAGTAGTCCACCCTCAACAAAACAAAACAAAGAGTACTGATACACCAAAACCTCCTCCTCAGAGTTGCCACTGAGAAACCATGAGTAATATATGTGTTTTAATTTTTTTCAAACTAACAGGGCTTACTTTTTAGAAACATTAGTGAATGGTGGAATAGCAGCAAAATTCAGTTTCTCAGAGAGAGGACGGATCAGTTTTCAAATGGCTCGCCCTCTAACAGGTGACACTTAGAATCAGATAGTTTGGTTGCCTCTAGTTTTCATCTCAATTGATAAAAAAAATTTCACGCCAAGACCCCCGTCTTTTTGCAAGATTTACTGGAGGCTTTCAAAGTATAACTGATATTCGGTATCAAGAAAAAGGAATATGGGCAATCTAGTGTCAGAGAGTTGTGCCCAGGCTTACAAGATGTTCTCTCCCCAGCGGGTGTGGGAAGCACAGCTCGTCTCAGAGACTCGGTTGGCCACATCCTGCCTGCTCCGTGCATCTCTGATAGTTAGTCATGTTGATTGAACAGTCACGGGCTTGTCCAGCAGAACTGTCGAGTCACCACCACTAATGGTGCTAAAGAGTCTTGGAAATAAAATATTCATGGCACACATTTTACCTTTAACTGTAGGCAGGAGGTTTCTTCTGCATTGAACAGAAACTTTACATGGGAAGCTGCCCTAAAGGTGGGTAAAACACAAAAAATTCACCAATTCTAGTGGTCACTGAAAGCTTGGACTTAAAACCTAGAGACCTGAGCCATCACTGCCTGTGCGCTGGCGTTGATAGGTCGTCGTAGGGCTGGCGTCTACCACTGCAGCACCCAGGAGGGGAAGAGAAGATGAAAAGTGCACTTGAGACACCTAGTAAATTCTGTATCTCGGGAAAGTGAGGAAGATGACTTCAGAATCAGAGCCTGGCGTGCCGCTTACGTGGGGCCAAAAATATACGTTTATTGAAAATTAAGCAGGAATTCAGAAAATTTGTTGAGCAAAAAAAGAAAAAGCTAAGTTATCAGAAAATACAGGTATTTGTGGGAGTGTGATTTTTCCATTTGAGTCAAGGCAGTTTCCAAAATGATGTATTCCACTTGTAACAGAAAACCATACATAAATTGATTTTCAGTAGGTATCCATCTTTAATAAAAATTCAACTTCTAAAATTTAGCAAACTTTGCTCTTCCTAATGTTCCCCTAATCCTCAAATTACCCCGTGAGATAGACCCATCACATCCAGCACTAAGTGAAGTGAGGCCGACAGCAGTCCATTCCGCCTTCTGTGTGAGTGGACGTCAGCGGGGAGGTGGGCTACCTGTGCTAGGCTCTCGTGGGAGCAGACCTCACCCATGCATTGCTTTGCTGCTACTTCATGTAGAGCCTGACTGTACAGTGAAAATTCTCTTACATGAATATTTGATAAGCGAATCAAATTCTGGCATACTAAATTGCCAAAATATAATGACTGCCTGCCTTGATAAAAAGGATAATTACATTTAATGAATAAACCTGCCAAGTACAGATATGCAGGTTGGTACCTGCTATTTGCCGCTCACTTCTCCCAACGAGTAGCAGCTAGGTGCCCCATAAACACCAAGACACTGGGTTTTTCACTTACGGAACAGATAACTCCCAGAAATCAATTGTATAGTTCCTGCCTTGCCCTTTATTTAAAGGAAAAACAAAACACCTGAAACAAGGAACTCATGGATTGTCTTCATCATGCATTTCCATTCGCATAAATGTAGAGAGTCACAAGCGGATAGAGCAATGCCTGGTTTGGCCAAACTAGGGTGGCATAACTCACCACTCATGCTAGAAATGTTTTCATTGTCCTGGGATCTGAGTGAGTATGTTAGAAAAGGCTTTCCTTCTGAATTCTCTCTGTCTAAAACATTTCTGGAACAGTGCTTCTGAAACTTCTCAAGGGTGTGTAAATCATTTGAGAGCTCACGAACACGCAGGCTCGGAGTCAGACCCCGGGGAGAGACAGGAGAGTGGGCTGCACCCTCACTGGCACCCAGGGTGTGGAGCACAGACCGCAGAGCATCCCGCAAAGTCAGGAAGTGCAGGGGAGTGAGGGACAGTAGACAGGCTATTTGGAACAACTATCCATGCGGGGGCTTAGATGTGATGTCACTCCCCATGGGACAAGCTAGGACTTGCACTGTGGCCACTGCTCTTCCTCCAGCCCGTGACCAAGTTGGCAGGGGCTCCAGGGCTTCTCGGTCCCTTCCTGATACATAGAAGGTTCTCAGGGGCATCTCCCCTCTGCCACGTTGGTGCCTTGGTGAAGTACCATTGGTGCCATTTGTACAGGGTTCCTTGGTACTAGCACTTCACTTCCCCTCTTTTGCTGATCAGGTTCATATGTGGGACTCAGGTGTGATAGTAATGCCTTCCCTGCCAACACCTCAGGGCCAGTGTGAGAATCAGAGAGAAGTAGGAAGGAAGCAGGGAATTCGGAGTGCAAATGCAGGGTGTTATTATTCTAAATGGTGGAATTTTTAATAGTAAAGACCCAGAAGAGTGGGTTTTGGACATTCTGTACGGACCTGCACCTGTTTTGTTCCCATCTGCAAGGTAAGAAGGCACAGTCCCAGACTTCCTGAACATAGCGCCCAATTGTAACGCCGCTGCCAGGTGCGGGCACAGCAGGCCCAGGGCAGTTCCTGCAGTTCAGACATACTTTTCAGTTCCCCTTATTCTGATGTGCTCTCAGAAATTCTATAATGTAGGTGTCCATGAAGACTTTCTTTTTTTCCCGATTAAGCTATTAAAAAGGGCTCACGCATTCTTACAAGGGCCCCTAAAATCGGAGATCTGTAGAGTCACTGGGATTAAAAATGAAATTTTGAAATCACGATATCAAAGTCCTCCTCCCAGTTCAAGAAAAGTGAATACAGCCTTAGAGAATCTTGATCCATTTAGCTGCATTAAGAAGGCAAGTGACGGACCCTGGCCACACAAGGACACCCACGACATGGCCGTGTTCCGTGTCCAGCTCTGTGGGCATGGCCCTTACCTGTTAACACGTCCAAGGGGAGACTTTCTTGAGCGGAGCACTCTGTTCTGTCACTCTCAGGAACGCTCCCTTCAGGACCCCACGCCCAGTGTGGTCTGTCCGTGCCAGCACAGGCCATCAGAGACAGGTTCCGGTGGAATCTGTTTGCCCACAGGGATTAAGACACCAGGCACAGCGGGATGCAGGGGCACCCCTGCCTGCCTGCCCTGCCCTGCCGAAGGGCGCCTTGGCTGTAATAATCTGTCCTTTCTGTTCCCCACCGGCCCAGACACTGTGTCTGCCTCGTGTTTTCCCTGTAGCCCTTCATACCTGGGGAGACGCTGGGACTCCAGCACCTTACCAGTGCAGAAAAGGGTGTTTCCCGTGGCGTAGGCACAGGGTTGAATTTGCTAGCTTGGCATCGAACCACAAACACAGTTTTGTCACCAGGAGTGTCCCCACATCCTTGTTATGAGTGTTTTCATGACACGAGCTATGCTACGCAGCCAGTCCGAATGAGAGCTGTGGTTGGAGGCACGTCCGTGTCACTCTGAGCGTCCCTGCACTCGGGATCGCCTGCCTTTCCCTGCCTGCACTTGGAGTTAAACGCACACATTCACGCGCATGTGCGGGGAAGTCCCAGGAGTGTTTCTTGTAGATAATTAAATGATCTCTCTCATTGGAAGCACCTCGGGGCTACCTGGCTACCAGCTGTTTTAATTTCCCATCCAAAATTGGCCACAGGCACAGGCTTGCAACTCAGAGAGTTGGCGAGCTGGTTTTGCCATCACCTGCTTGACTTTAAGCTTTCCTCTCTGTTCGGCCAAGACTAATCCAGGAAGGGATTTGGGAAACACCGAATACATCCTGGTCAGCATCAGGAAACCTTCCGTTGGTCTATCATTGAATATCACCGTGAATTAGTTTCAGCTTTTATAGCAGCACATCTATCCTGCCCACTTAACAAAAAGTGATGATAATCATGAAATTCAAGTGCCAATATAGACTTATTATAAATTTAATCTGGTGTGGATTTTAATAGTACCAGATATGCTTCTACTTAATTGCTTTTGATAAGTGCTGTCTTCTGTACCATAATCACATTCATCAATTGGGAAAATGGTTAAGTAGACACTTTAACATGGTTTTTTTTTTTCCTAAGAAGTTATCCCTAGGAAATACATTTTTATGGTATCTCGACACCAGGAATTGTGGTCACATAGCACTCTTCTAAATAAAGCACTTGTTTTACAAAAGAGCTTTTATATTTACTTACAAGCATCTCACTCTTTTAAATGAGAGTTAAATGAAATGTTCACTGATTTAGATTCCAAGACCTGTGACTAAATAGGACAGTAGCATATTTCCTTTTCTCAGATACCTGCTTTGCCTGTGTCAAATCCACGACGTAGACACAAGTGCTGCCACACACGGCAGAGGGCCAAGTGTTTCCTTAGTCACAAATTCATTAGTACCACCCCTGAAAGAATTCCTTAATAACAGCTAAATTGTATCTCCCAGAATATCCGTACCTAAAATATAACTTGGCTTCTATGGATATAGGCCAATAATAGCTTAACGGTTTGGGGATTTATGAAGGAAGAAAAACGCAGGAAGTCTCAGTGCAGCTCTGACTTTATACCTTGCCGTAGGGAGATTTGGGAATGTTCTTTGGAGGATAGGGAGCTTCCTTCAGTTTCTTAACTTCTCATTTTATTCGATCTTTCTCCATCACTCTCTCTCTCTCTTTCTCTCGTCCTCACACTCTGTCTGTCTCTCTCCTGATTTGCCTGCTTAGGGACAGACAGGTAATGGAGAAGAAATTGAAAGGGAAAATACAGGGAAAATGTAAATGAAAAGAAGTTATTATAACTGTTATAATGAAGTGCCTTTCATTTAAATATAAGAATGTAACGCTGAAATGAACTTGTGATCCTGAAATGCATTTTTAATGAGTTTCCTTTTTATTTTGCTGCTTCAGTGGCATATTTTAAAGACCCTTTGAAAAAAGCCACATTAAAAACCCCACCAAATGCCACAACACGCAAAATTGGATATTGGTTTATTCCAAAACTGCTGATCAGGAAGAGTGGCTCTTCATCACAAAATGTTGCAGTCACTTTATTTAAATGAGTTTGAATTTGCATTGTGATGTGCCATTCTGATTTAGGGGAAAAAAATTAGATTTTCAGATCAAATTGACCCAGCCAGTGAAGCGTTAAGGAGCTGGCAGGTTTAGTCTGAAAGCCTCATGTTCTATCAAACCCGCAGCCGGTGGAAGTCACCGAGCCCCCGTGGGAAACAACTTTCTCGCAGCCTTGTCCTCTTGTCCCCGCTCTGAGTTCTGTTCTCACCGGCTCTGCTCTCTTCATCCCAGGGGAGCGGCCCTTCCAGTGCAACCAGTGCGGGGCCTCCTTCACCCAGAAAGGCAACCTGCTCCGGCACATCAAGTTACACTCCGGGGAGAAGCCCTTCAAGTGCCACCTCTGCAACTATGCCTGCCGCCGGAGGGACGCCCTCACAGGCCACCTGAGGACGCACTCCGGTAGGTCTGCTGGGCGCTGTCTGGGTGTCCCGGGTAGGGAGCCGCCTCCGCTCTGCCAGCCTGCGCAGGGCAGCAGGTCGCCTCTTTGCTGGCTGGCCCCACACCCGGTCCCGGCACAGTCCTCCGCCGGGTGTTGGCCAGCATGACTTTGGCATCGGCCCCGGGCTTCCTGCCCCATATTCTGCCTTTCCCATTGGGCTAGAGGAAATGGGAGGGTGTGTGCACACTCGTGCACACACACACACACACACACGTCTCACCCATAGATAGTGTGTTTCAGAAGAGGCCGCCTCATCCTAGTTTGTCAGGCAGCTGAGGTCTTTGTAAAGGATTTTGTCAGCCGTACTTTGGATGATGCCCGAAAAGTTTTTCAGATACCTTTCTTTATGTTAGTTGTTAAGTCACACTTAATTTTACATGGGGTATTTTAATAGCAATAACACTTGCAGAGGAGGTGACAAAGGTGACTTAGGGCATAACCTCGTCATCTGAGGGCACATCCCCCTGGACAGAGTCCCAGCGTGACTCTCAAGCCAGAAACCAGCCGAGGCCCCACTGGGAGAGGCCCGTTTAGAGATGTTACCAGGTTTTAGGCATCAGCATTTCTCTTTGAACGAGATACATAAAGTACATCCCAAGTGACCCGGAGCCTCAGCTACATCATCATTAGCATAAATGTTCCACCGTTCTCCAAACATTCCCAACCTGTGAAGCTCAAATGCACCTTTGATTGGATTAGATCCTCTGCCTCCTGAGACATCTTCCTGCAGTTTCGGCATCTAGTAGCCCGTGACCCCGCAGGTCAGGGGAAGAAAGGGCTCTCGGCCAGGCTGTCCTATGTCACGTTTGCCACAGCATGGTCTGCACTGCATGGCATGCATGGGTTTCCTTCACACCCTGTAGTCAGGGACAGTTGACATCGTGCACGAGGCTTTGGGGATAGGAGGGTGATGGCCCTTGGCCCCAGAAGCCGCCAGCCAGCCTCCCATCAGCCGCAGTGTCTGGGCAGGTGCTGTGGGTGATGGGGCTGCTTCAGACCAGCCCCTTCCTGCCATCCCCAGGTAGCAGGACAAGGAGGTGAGGACGTGTGGACTTTGCGAAAGGTCTGCAGGGCTCAGGCTGTCTCCTCCCAAAAGTGATGAGTGGATTTAATGGTTGGGGGTTTTAGGGGCTTCTCATTGTGTGCATCTCTTTATCACACATTTACTGAGGTCCTCAGGGTGCTCGTGCTCCATGGGGGAGACAGGTGCACACAAGGAAAGCACCTGTGTGTTGAGAGGCATGACAGCATCCGAGGGGACAGTCGGTCCCCAGGGTGGAAGGTCAGGAGAGACTTTGTGTAGCAGGAAGGGCTTGAGTGCATGCCTAAAGGCGAGTTTCTAAAGTTTGCTTTAGAGAAGTCCTCACCGAGTATGATTCGGCAGTGATCCTAGAAGGGGATTTGGTACGCATCTTTGCAAGTGTTGTTAAGCACTTGGTTTTCCCCTGGCAAGGGGAACGCGCGGGAGTTCACCAGGATGGCTGGAGGCAAGAGGGAGGAGTCGCAGGGGGACCTCAAGCTGTCTTCTCTCCACCCCGACCTCCTTCCTGATGGCGAGCATGGAGGAGGCTCCCAAAATGCTCTTGATCAGAAAATTGTAATGATTTGGGTGAGCTTCTTAAAACCTTCCAAGAAAGGAGTCATAGGAAGCTGAGGTGCTGCTGGCCCCATAATGTGGGAAGGTCATAGGGGGTGGCCAGGGCGGGCCCTGTGCTCAGAGCCAGGGAGGGACGTGCTGCAGGGTGATCGGGAAATAGGCGTCTCCCCCGAGATGGGAGGATAGCGGCATGATGGTCAGCATCTCTGAATGTGCACACGTGTGGGAGCATGTGTGGTCCCACCTGCAGGTGAAGGAGGTGTGTGTGGGCCTCTGCTGTGACCGTTGTACAGTCTGTGCCATGCTAACAGGTGGTCTGGGTAAAAGAATCTTCACATCTATTATTTCTAAGGAGTCACGTAGACATAGATACCATTGGCAGCAATATTGCCTCGGGTCGGTAGGAAGCATGGCTTCCTGTGTCAGTAGAAAATGCAGCCGCTCATTCTTAGGTTGACACCAACCATATATGATCATCATCCCCAGGTCACTCTGATTTGCAAGAGAAATCTCCTCTGCATGTCTGTCCTTAAGACTTAAAGTGCTGCTTTTCTCCTTCCTATTGTGAAGTTAGGAGCATCCAGTGTGGTGCTGTGTGTCACTCTGGCTCTATGCCTGTTTATTCCATTCAAGGCATGATGGTGTCCTGCTCTAAGTCTGGCTAATTACTTGAGCGATTATATATAACAGGTGGTAGACTTTGGGCTGTTTATTTCCATTATGGATCTACCCACGAGCAAGTGCAGAAAACCAGCATCGATCCCGGGCTGCTGGAGACTCGGCCGTCTGAAAGTGCCATCGACGCACACCCAGCTCTTGCAGAGAGAAACGGCAGTTTACGTTCTTCAAAATGATTTCATTAGAATGAAATAAAGACTTTAGGCTGTGTCCGGCAAACTCATATGTGGCCACATTCTATTCCACTGTGGTCCCCTGGTCCCTTAAAAACCATAGCTCCCCCTAGCAGCTGGTGGTGGCCCAAGGTTCCACAAGTATGTTAGTGTCAATACAGTCACAGAATTTGTCTCATGCTGTTAACAAGAGGGGCTTGGGTGATCTGGAGGGGTAGGGAAGGAATTCCCCTTCTTTCCTCATGGCTGTTTTAGGAAGTTGCAAGCTTAGTTAGAGACTTCTTTCCTGTAGAATATGGGGCTATGCTTCAAGATATACTTTAGTTCAGTTGCTTACAATTAACATATTTCTTATGTTCCAGAGTTAAAACCAATCATATACTCAGAAAAGTGGCTATCAGACACCATGCCATATGTATTCAGGAATCAGTTTTGATCATGGAATTTACTGAAGTTACAGCTTTTGCAGGAAAGGACCTTTAGTGGTTATCTACTCTCTATTAATTTCTAAAAGCAGTACTCAATAAAATGTGCAATTTTAGGCAGCATTCTGTATTTCAACATTATTTCCTGGTCTGTGTTTCAACATTATTTCCTGGTATTGGGGTACAGCACTTTCTATAGATAAAGAAAAAATCTCTTCTTTCTCTATTAAATTTTCCAGAAGTAAAATTTTGGTTTTCATTTTAGTCTTCTTAAACTATGGCTTCTGTTCACCTAGGAAAGAGATTTAACCAATACAAGCTTTGGTTAAACCATTTTACCAAACATTCCTATTTGGATGGTTTTAATTTTTATACACTACTTTGAAATATGTAAAATAAAACAGCATGAGAAGGAAGTAGAAGATTCTGGTTTTAGGGTGAAAATTTATATTTCTTCTATAAGTGATTAAAGATATTTTATTCATCCCTTAAAATGGTATCCGTTGAAGTCATTAAACTTAGGCATGATATGGTTCCTGGCTAGTCGTCTTTTCCTAAAATACCACTCAGTAAAATCCAGAAAGGGCTAAACTCGTTGTGTAGAATTATACTGCCCAATACAGCAGCCACTAGCCATATGAGATATTTTAATTTTAACTTTAATGAGTTAAAATTAAAGTAACTTCATTCCTCAGTGGCACTGGCCACACTTTGAGTGTTCAGAAGCCACACCTGGCTGGTGGCTGCCATATTGGACAGCACAGATAGAATTTCTATCATCATAGTAAGTGCTGCTGGACAGGGCTGATCTAGAAGCTATGCCATCCTAAATTTCTTTGGGCAGAAAACAGAGCTCTCCCATAAACTTTGTGAAAAATGCATAGTGCATTCTCCATGTATATGAAAATACCTTTTTTCATATTGATGAAAATATGTTTTGTATTTGTATATTCATATACAAAATATTTCTAATAAATTTTAGAAATAAAATGTTCATTTTATTAAAGCATATTTGTCCACCATGGTTTCTTAGAGACCTCACATTATCCAGTTTAGCACCCTGGAATTGGGTTCACTCTGGTTGCATTAGACGTGGCACCAGTGTCACGCCGGGTCTGGCTCACACCATAGACAGAGGCCTGCTCAGGAGGCAAGTCTGCAGATTATCTGGCCAACTCAAGGGCCTTCCTGACATCTCTGTCCAGTTGTTTGGCATCCACATTATAACACTAGTGGTTCCTTTCCTCCAGTTAAAGGACAGACATCAGTGACTTAGAAAGTAGAGAATTTGGTAGTCAGTACAGTAGACAAATTAAGATGAAACGAGAGTCACATGAGTTTCGGTATAATCAAAAAAACTCTTGAGCACTAACATTCTTAAATTCAGTAATTTTGACCCAGTCCATAATGCTTTTAGCTCTCAAGAGTAGAAATTTTTTTTTTTACTTTTTTGGTAATAGTTGTATTGCATGCATTCCCATTATACGTAAGGCCGACTTTAATTGGGGTCTTGAACTCAATTGTGTTTCCTGCAGTTGGTAAACCTCACAAATGTGGATATTGTGGCCGAAGCTATAAACAGCGCAGCTCTTTAGAGGAACATAAAGAGCGCTGCCACAACTACTTGGAAAGCATGGGCCTTCCGGGCACGCTGTACCCAGGTAAGCGCGAAGCTCGCTCGAGGCCGGCCTCAGCTGGCTCCCCCAGCACGTGTTAGGAGCAGAGCCGCAGGCCCACCTCCCGCCAAGGCTGTGAGGGAGGGAAGTTTTTGGCCGATGACATCGCAGCTTCACTAGGAGCACAATGTGCTTCCCAACCTTCTAGACCCTCAGATGACCAGAGAGCCTGATTTTCAACCCCTCCCTCTTCAAATCTGGAGAAACGCCTAAAATAATAGTGAGCCTTTGAAGTTTTTGGTTTGTTTTTTGGATGCTAGTGTTTTGTTTTGTTTTGTTTCCCCTAAGCCTCAAGTAGTGATTCTTTGTGCTTAGTGATCAAAATAAAATGTGAAATCTTGTTTTAAAACTGTTTTTTCACGAAGCTGACCAAATAAAAGCTTTTAGGCTGTGATTTCAATCATCCGTCAGACCAAGGGCACGGTACCCACACCTGCATGGAATGTGAGACTGGAATTTGTTGGGAGAACCTAGAACCCCATAGATTGAGGTTGGCGAAGGACTAGAGGAAGGTCGCTTTTTCTTGGGAGCTGTGATGCTTCATGGTGTGTTGTGTGACGAGGTGGCCCTCAGCAACGATCCCAGCCGCTGTGAAGTGGAAGGCAGAGTGTACTCAGGGGATGGCAGTGCTGTTATAAAAGATTCCTTCCTAACTTATTAGGAGATAAGAAATTTATAAATAGATCAAGTGAAGCGAATCTCTTTCACAACACTATTCATTTAGCACTCCCATTAGAAAAATCATCATTGTACTGTGGGGTAGAAATTAAATTAGTAGTGGAGAATTTATTAAGCCTCACTCAACTTTCTGAGTTTAACAAATGGTTTGTAAAGGAAAATGCACCAGAGCACACTCAGACCGTCAATGGCAGACGAGAGCAAGAGAAAAGAATGTTCAGGATGAAGGCCTTAGAGTTGATTCAGATTAGTCTTGGCATTGAGAGGCGGCATGCCACATAGCAAGAGCTCTGCAGTCCTCGTGCTGTCCCCTACACCCATCAGCCGGGGAACTGGAGCCGACAGGTGATTTCTCTGGGCCTCAATCTTCTCACCTGTGAAATGGGGGCATTCCCTTAAATTATCATTTAGCTTCTTTGAAAGTCTCAGGTCTATAATGGAATGGTATTAAGGGTGAGTGGAAGAGGGGAAATTGGATTTTAAAATAATAAGAATAATAATAATTTAATAGTTATCAATTTGTGCCCAGACCCCAGGGCAGGAGACTGAGGGATGAGAGGATGGTAATGTTCTTTTAAAATAAAATATGAACACTCAGATGTTGTATTTTTCTGTAAAAAATAAATTGATGGATCTTGGAAGTATGCTCTCCTAATGATGTAATTTACATATTAATGCTTAATAAGCCATTTTCTGTACTCAACAAATATTTGTTGAGGACTTACAGTCCACAATACCAAGCCTTATTGGATACAACAATCTGATATACACATGAAATTGAAAAGACAAAACAAACAGAAGAAACAGAATATTGTTTTCTGTCTGTTTCCTCCAACATTTTAGTTGCTAAAGAAACCAGCTGTAATCTCGCAGCGGGCTGAGAGCTCCGTCCAGGCCAGGAGGAGGAGCAGTGTTCATTTCACTGAGACTTGAGTTCCAGTTTCATCTCTGAGTCTGTTTTTGAATGTGACCCAGGGCTCACCTCTTAAATGTGACTGATAATTCCTGCCTGGCCACCCTCACAGCAGTGCTGAGTGTGACCTGAGGGGAATGAATCTGTGTGAGACCAGGAGCCCAGACATGTGCCAGGTACTTATCTAAACACAGACGTTTAGGTCACTGACATGCTGACACTTTCAACCTAATTATCCTCTATTGGCATCCCTGTCAACAAACTTAGTGCCAGTAATATGTATTGGATATTACCCTGTAGTGAGAATCAATTTCACCCTAAAATGTTCATGTATTTCCTTTGGTGGTGAGATTATTTGGACTAGCACAGTGATGTCTTCACGCTCCCATGCTCATGAGGGAAGAAGGCTTCTCTAGGAAGAAGCAGGCATCTGACCTCAGCGTGGCCACAGACGGAGCCACGCAGGCTGGCATTTAATTCTGTTGAATTCTTTCTGCCCGTATTGCATCAAGATGTGCAAAATGATCATAAACACTTTTAGACAGAGACACCTTTTAGATGCCTTTTAATTTACCCGTGCCAACACCCTCGTAAGCCTGCAGCAAGTGCTAGTTGCAGGAGCTAGGAGTGTTGAGGGGGTCCATAAAAGGACATTAATGAAAGTCCACCTGGACCGCATTTGGAACTGGCCGGGCAGGCTGGGCTCCGGGGGTGTCGGTCTCCTCAGCTGTGCTGTGCGGAGTGCTTGGCCTGTGCCTCCTTGGGCATCTTTCCGCTCCTGTCCCTCCACAGCTCCCTCTGAGACAGCCCTGCTCAGATGGACAGCGAGTAGGTCTCTTTTATTCCCAAACCCTCTTAGGTTGGGCCGCCCACTGGCTAAAAACAAAGCCTAGCTTAGAAGATGTAGGAAAAAATTAATTTTTCAGAATACAATTTTTCTTAGTAAAAGGATTTAGGTCACCTATTCTTAATGTCTTTACAGAAAAAAAGTAAGTTTCTCTCGAGCCCTAGGTACACAAACTATGTCACAAGCCCTCGGAGGTGCGTGCATGTGAGGACAGAGTAGCCGGTAATTCGGGAGCTGGGGGCTCACTTGCTCCATGCTGTGATCCACTCCGGGGGTCGAGGCTCTCGGGAGGCCTTCGCTTTGCAGAGAAGGATGGACACCTCGGGGAGCTGATATCTAGCTTGATGGATAAAGTACACGATTAGTGCAACTGGGTTTTATAGATTTATGTTTATCCTGCATATAAATCAAGGTGTGGGCTACCTATGTTTGCCCATTTAATAAGAAACACATGTGTCCAATGTTAAAATATAAAATATACCAGCAAGAATAACCAAATTGAAATATATGTTGTCAAAGTGGCATTCATAATAGCGATGAAGACGTAAAATACTTAGAAATCATCTTAGTGAGTAATATGCAGCACATAATGAGGAAAACTATCAAACATTCTGAGGCCAGAAAGCAACCCTGAAGACTGAAGAAGGGCAGAAGTCTGGACACTGTCCATGTGCTTCCCCCCACATCAGGCACAGATTCAACATAAAATTCTTCTGTAAATCTTATTGGAATTTGGTAACCATATATTGTAAAGTACATCTGGATAAATAAATGAGAGAATTGGCAACTTTTTAAAAAAGAAGAGTAATATCTAGCACTATATAAAATGTAACTGGAATGGATGGAACCTTTGGAAGAACAGGCAGACAAATCAATGACAGAGACGGACAAACCTGCCAAGGCCCTGTGATCAATCGGCGTGATACCTGAGGAAGGAGGAAACACAGGGAAGAAAGAGTGTTGTAAGAATCGATTAGATATTCAGAAGGTGATCAATGTACATGTTCAGTTCCTTATAGTTTAGGACAACTTGCAGAGAAATGAAAGGGTTGTATTTCAAAAAACCCAACCATAGAAAGTAGAAGTTAGTGGGACCATGTATGATACAAAGTTGTGTCTTCAATTATGGAAAGAAAGAGATGATATGGAAAAATAGAGACTGACTAGAAATAGCCCATACATCAACATTTACCTCCTTAATTTCCAAATTTTCTACAATATGCAGGTGTTATTTGATTTCCAGGAGGTTTTGTGTGCTCAGGGATAAGTAGCTCTGGGTTCCTTCCCCACATTGCCAAGATTTGCTGTAGGATCTTGAGAAGCCACATTTTTGCATCTCAGTTTGCTACACCAGTTGGTGGAGTCAAAGCCTAAAGTCATTTCTCGATGTGACAGTTCTTTGCATCTCAGGGAGCTGTTGCTAGGACTGACTGAGGTAGTGTATTTGAGAGTATTTTGAAAAGTTAAAAAGACCCTTCAAAGACACTTACAGGATCCCCTTCCAGCCTCTGGCAATGGTGGTGCTGCTTGTTCTTTGGTCTTAGGGGGTGATGTGCGGTTAGCAGGTGTTGGAGGAAGGAGCATTAGCAGGTGGCCAGTCACTGGCATTGCTACGGCCATTCTCTGTCTGGCAGAATTGTTGGGAAGATTAGAAATGGCCTCTACAAAGGGCCTGGCTCTTGTAGGCACTTAGCAAATGTCAAATTTAACACTGGACACAACTGAACCCTTCATACGTAAGAGTTTCTAAACTGGCCTCTCTAACTGTCTTTGACTTTAGTCATTAAAGAAGAAACTAATCACAGTGAAATGGCAGAAGACCTGTGCAAGATCGGATCAGAGAGATCCCTCGTGCTGGACAGACTAGCAAGTAACGTCGCCAAACGTAAGAGCTCTATGCCTCAGAAATTTCTTGGTAAGAGTTAAACGTTTGCTGTCTCTTAAAAAGGAACTATGCGGGTGTTTTAGGCAAAAGGAAATTAGTTGAAGGTAGAATAAAGGAAAAGAAATCTTATTTTTCAAAAAGCAAAAATTGGCAAGTTTAACATTTCTTAAATATCTTAGAATTTTTTCCAATAAGGGTCTTAAAAATAACACACCTCCTCCCAGCAGTGTTTGCTAGGTGTGATTTTGCAGCATCTGGGGTCCTCGGTGTGATCTGCCTGTGGACATCGTCCCTCTGGTGTGGCTGGATCCGTGTGCACGGGGTCGGGGGTGGGGGGCACCGCACAGCAGGACACCCCGCACCTGACCAGCCTCTCTGAGCTCCTGACGCCCGCCTTATGGGGGACTGTGAAGGGTTAGCGGGAGGAACCGCACAGAGAATGGACTCTGAGACGTGTCTAGTGAGGACAGGACACAGCGAATTGCTATTCTGACCTTAGAACCCCCACCCGTGCCAGGTACCGTGAGGGGTAAAACCCTTTCCCCTAGGAGCCACTGCCTAGTGTAGACGATAGACAGTCACACCAGCACCTGTCACCCAGGCCAGACACCGTAAGTCAACAAGGATGGCGTGGCAGGTATCCGAGTGGGAAGGTGCTGGGCTCGGGGACAAACCTGAGTCAGTGTGGAGCTGCTGGCTCCCTTTGTCACCTTGGTGAGAGGGCTCTGCTTCCACACTTCAGCATCTCACGAGGTGATTGTGAACATGACGTGACCCCCAGGGTGTGGGCACATTGAGAAGCCCTCAGCGCGAGCATCAGCTCTGTCCAGGAAAGAGGACCAGTAAAAGCTTCACGAGGCAGAGACGGAGCCTGAAAGAGGGATAGACTCCGGCACTTTATGGGTGCTGGAGGAAGGGGGGGTTCTAGGCAGGCAGGTAAAAATAAAAAGAAACAGTGATGTGGTCGTGGGAGGCAGAGTCGGGAGCTGATGAAGACGTGGGCATGTGACCGGCTTAACCCAGGTACGCACAGGGGAAGCAAGAGCAGTGAAGCTGTCCCGGCAGCTCTGCCCACAGGCTAAATGGCCTTGGGCTGCTGCCACGGTGAGAACCGGACCCCTCGGTGAGTTGGCAGAAGAGAAGAATTGACATACTTTTGAAATAAACAGCTTGGGAAGTAGAGACAGCAGGTAGCAAAACTGGACAGACAGAGGGCGAGCGGGGAGGCGGCAGCAGGCATGGGAAAGGGGGTGCGTGCGGGCGGGGCTGGCGAAAGAGGAGGGTTGGGTCGGGGCAGGAGCAGGCGAAGGACGCCCCCCACAGAAAGGAGAAAGCCGGGATGCGGGGAAGGGTAGGGGTCTGTTTTTGATGTGCTGATTTTCAAGGGCCTCCTGGTGTCTGTGGCACGTGGGGATGGGTAGAACAGTGGCTAGTGAGGCCCAGGGTCCCAGAGCGGGAGGACAGAGGGGAGGCCAAGTTCCTGGGCACCAGCCTCTCTCTGCAACTTCAAACAAGGCTCCATTTTGACCTGTTGATTACGGAGAGACTTGTAGATTGGAGGCTGGCAGCAGCAAGGGAAGGAAGGGTGCAGTTTGAAAGGAAACAAGGCCACCGGCTAGAGACCCTGTGGAGGGAGTTGCCGCGTACATGTGAGCCTTTCTGCAGAGAGAGGAAGCCGAGCTTGCCCGCCCGAGCAGAGCAGCAGGACCCGTGCTGAGCGAGCGCTGTGGCGGGGGCTCCGCGGCACTGGGCACGGCCCACAGGCAGCGCTGGGGAGATGGGCCGGGCTGTGCGGGGCTGCTGACCGCGGGAAGCAGGGCAACCTCCTCGTCAGGTGAGGAGCCTGTGGAATGCAGAGCTTTGCGGAGTGAACAGTTGCAGCCCCTTTTAGCTTTGGGAGACTTGAAACCAAGCGAGGAGCTCGTCCCTGAAACTCCCGGAGCCACCCCGGGCGAGACCACGATGTGGGCGTTGTCTTGAGAGGCTTCCTTGTTAAAAGAAAAGAAAAAGCCCAGCAGCATAGTGCTGTGATGGAGCAATGCCAAGGCAAGGGGGGAGAAGTTAGACACACGAGGAAGCACGTAATGGGAACAGTAGGACAAGGGTAACAGAAGTGGAGCTTGGAGCAAAAGCTTCAGAAGCAGCTGCCGAGTCTGTTGGTTTTTCCCCACCAGCCGAAGACTGTCAGCTCATTTCTAAAATAACGCCTCTTCCTGCCCTAAAATACCTACCTTACCCCCGCTCCAACTTGATGGGATTTCCGTCTACTCTGTGTGACTCCCAACGTGTCCAGTTCTCCATCTCTAAAATAAAAAGGCAGTTGGTTCTCCAATGCCCTCTTCACCTCGGGGACACAGAGTCTGTCCTTTGCATAAGTCAGCCACAGTGTGTAGCCATGCAGCTGTTCTCATACAGCTGGCCCAGCAGTGGTGGAGTGGACAGACCTCTGGGTCCAGCTCCAGCTGTGACCAACTGGTGGCCTTGAGCACAGCACTGGACTCAGTGTTGCCATCTGTGCAATGGGCCTGTCGCCCTGCCTCCTCGGAACTACTCTGAGGGTCAGAAGGGATGATGGATGTGACAGTGCCCTCAACACTAGAAAGCACCTTAAAATGTAAGAGAATATTATTTTCATATTGAATATTACTCAAAGGGGCATATATTTTAGCTTTATTGATATATGAGCTATGATTATTTTTTTACATTAAACTTCAACATGAGTATGAACAAATATTTGTTTTGCCAGCAACATTCTTCACCATTAGGGCCATCAAAGATCTCACCCTCTGAGATAATCAGATTCAGGTCAACAGGATCCATGAATTCACTGAGAAAGGTGATAATATTAAATAGCAATGCTAATCGTTATTTTTGGTCTGGTGATTGTGGTGAGAACATTACTAAAATACAGAAAAGCATGAGGAGAAAAATAACAATTATCACTATTCCTGCTACCTATCGTAATTATCTTGATATATTTTCTTCTTTTGTAAGAAAAAGAAACCCTGTTGTATTATTGACACATAGTTAATATAAAGCATTTTAATGCAAAAATTAATGTTTTCAAATCACCATAAAACCCAACATCCAGAAATAGCCAATATTAAAAGTAGGACAGCATCATTGTAAATATCTTTCTATATTTATGTATGTGAGTGAATAGGTTGATGAATTGGTAGACTGGTGGATAGATAGATATGAAATAAATACTTTCATAAAGATTTTATCATTTTATACATATCTTAAATTTGGGAGGTGAAAAAGAACCCTAACAAAACTGAGGGACTGGCTGATCTTCCAATAACTATTTTCTCACAGAAAGGAATATTATTTTTTAAAGGATCCTCTAAGATTAAAAATACATACTATGAAAATCATTAAGAACTTTGAATTTTTTTTAATCAACTTGTTTGAATTTAGGCAGTATCAACTGGCTCATTGCTTTGAAAATAAGGACATTATTCCAGTTCCCCATGTTCACAGTTATATTATTATTTTTACATTTTTAGCTTCATAATATTCATATTCTGTTCTGTAATCATAATACTCATAGTAGTTCAGCTATTTATTACTCTCTATTTAAATAGATTCAAGAATCAGACCCAGCGCCTTCATTATTATTTCTGTTTATTTTGAATAATCTCTTAATTGATTGGACTTTACATTCAAGCAACTTTTTTCCAAATGGTTCCGTAGGTGTTCTGTTTCCACCATTGTTTTGTGTTTGAGGACATCAGCCTGTTGTCTTCGTACTTGAAGAGCATCTTGGCAGCGTATGGTCTTGGATTGTCTTTTTTTTTACCCCTCTAAGACCTTTTTAGATTTTGCCATGTTGCCTGATGGCATTGCCTGTTGAATGTTGCTGTGGAGATGTCTAAGGCCAGTCTGACTTTTTTCTTCTTTAAGGTGATTTTCATGTTCTCCCAGAATTCCTGAAGGGTTCTTTCTTTAACCTTAAAGTTAAATACCCTAGCTAGGATATATCTTGGTGTTTTGCATTCTAAATAAAAATTTCCTGCTATTTTAATCTAGAGATTCCCTTTTTTCCTATTTCTGGGAAATTCTTTTTTATGTAAATTTATGTTTTGTTCTATCTGTTGTGATCTCTGTTCAGGGATACCAGTTGTCCATATGTTGGATAATTTGTCTTCCACATCTGTTAGTATTTCTTTAAATTTATTTTTATTTCTTCATCTTTTTTACATTTATTCACTGTTATATTTTTCCTGTATGTCAGTAATTCAATTTTTAGTAGTTTTTGTTCTATTACTCTCTATTTCTAATATATGTATTAATTCTGTAATAATATTGCTTTGTCCTTCATTTTGTTTCCTGAGAGCTGAGATCTTTTTTCCTCTCACTCTATTGTTTTTACATGTCATCTTTGAATATTTTCTAAAATTTGACTTCATGTCATGAAACATTTATGAGACATTTCCTTTTTTCCTTGAATTAAGGTCCCCCCTCCGACCCAGGATGGGCTTATTGGTCTATGTTTTACTTCCTTTCTTCCCTTGTATTGCTAGAAAATATTTTCATAGTAACCATGACATTTCCTTTCATCTTGCTTGTTCTGCTTGGTCTGATACAGGTTGACTGACATTTCAACATTCTTCCCACTATATCTGAGACTTTTTTTCCTGTGAGAGCTGTTGAGTTGCTATCGAGTTTTCTAAAGCCTGAAAGAATGACAAGGATGGGCTTGGGGGGAGTTTGGGTGAGGCAGAGTGCAGCCTTCATTAAAATACTTTTCCTTTGCTCTCTCTCCCTTGTTCTGCGATTTGGTTATGTGGCCTAAACTAGCAGCACTGTTCCTGGTTGGGGAGCACTTCCCATTCCCACAGGAAATACTTCGGGGGCTTTGGGCCATCTTCCTTTTCAGCACAGACCATGGAGGACTTTGCTTCTGACCGAGGGAGCCAGCCTCACTGTGTACTTCTCCGCTATCATCTGGTTCTTGCTAGCAGAGTTTCAGCTGCTCTTTGATCAGATATCAAAAAGATACCTATTAAATATTTGATTTGTTTCTGTATAGACATGACGATATTAGGGGAAGTGATGAGGATGTTGTTGATTCACACCTAAGGTTTCCGGAGGTGAGATTAGCAGCCAAGCTTTGCCCAGTATCTCATGGCAGCATTTTCTGTTTCTTTCTTTGGTCTTGGAGTGCGTGTGTGTGTGTGTGTGTGTGTGTGTGTGTGTGTGTGTGTGTGTTTCATTAGGATATATTCTTCATTTATCTGATTGTTGTTGGTGAATTTTGTAGGTTTTTATTTTTTGGGGATATAGGGAAGAGAAATTCTATGAGTAGTTTCCATATGCCATAATAATCTGGAATATATGCTGATTTTTTTCCAACACCCATTTGTTGATACCAAGTTTTGAAAACAACAGATTTCAATGGTCGTGTGGGAAACCACAGAACCATGACTTTAAGGAGAGACAGGATGAGGAGGTGGGGAAGCACCATTTTGGGTGGGGCTATAAACACTTTTATATTCAGCAAAATTGGCCACAAAGTCCACTCTCCTGCTCTGTTGCCAAGGTATGATAGAGGGACAGACTTGAGTACAAACCAGAATGGGTTCATTCTCTTCTGGGGTTAGTGTAACAAGACATTCAGCACGTTGACACAAAAACAGAAAAAGCTTGTGTGGTGTCAGCAATGCTATACAATTACTTATTCTAACCTATAATGAGATGTGAGCTCATCTACTCCTGCAGACTGATGATACTAGATCATAAGGTTCTAGAGGCCAGGGCCCAGTCACTGCTGGGTCTTTAGCAATAGTTCCTTGTACATCACTAATTATTAGTACTTTTCAAAAATAATAGATGAGTAGCCTACCATTTTCCCCTGTAGCTTCCTTGTTTTGCTTCCTACTTTCTACCATATGCTTCTGTGCTGCCAACTATAGAGAATTATTTTTTAAGTTTGAGTATCGTTAGAGCCCATTTACCTTTGTTTTATTTACAAGAAATATATAATTTTATTATAAATGATATACATTCATCCTGTATTTTAATTGAATCTTATTATAGACTATTAAATTATGATTTAATATTACATCACAATATTATTTTAAATACCTATATGGGATATTATTATGAACCATCATATAATTACTGTGTATTGGAGTTACATAAATGTATGATAAATTAGCCATTTGTTGTAAATTACTTAGAACATTCTATTGAAAATACATCATTTAAAATATTAAATGAACTATAATGATATAATTAAATTAAACAGCATAATTAAATTAAGGATAATGTTGAATTCTACCATCCTTAATAAAAGGCACGAGCATTGGTTTTTGGCCATTTAAATGTGTGCTGTTTAAATTGGCACAATCTTTGGTTCCCCTATTCTTTTTATTTATTTATCCAATCAAATTTGTTCAAGTGCCCACAATGCGTAGGTCCCTGGCCAGAGGCCCACCAGACGGACGTGTGGCCTTGCCCTCCTGTGGCGGTGCGGTGCGGCGTGGCACGGCCCTGCCTGTCCCCTCCCTGGGCGTAGATTAGCTGTTGCTGCCCGGCCCAGCGGTGGCCGGCCTCACTCACTGTCGCCTGCTCCCCACAGGGGACAAGTGCCTGCCGGACATGCCCTACGACAGCAGCGCCAGCTACGAGAAGGAGAACGAGATGATGAAGTCCCACGTGATGGACCAAGCCATCAACAACGCCATCAGCTACCTGGGGGCCGAGTCCCTGCGCCCCCTGGTGCAGACGCCCCCGGGCGGCTCTGAGGTGGTCCCGGTCCTCAGCCCCATGTACCAGCTGCACAAGCCCCCGGGCGAGGGCGCCCCGCGGCCCAACCACGCGGCGCAGGACAGCGCCGTGGAGAACCTGCTGCTGCTCTCCAAGGCCAAGTCGGTGCCCTCGGAGCGGGAGGCGTCGCCGAGCAACAGCTGCCAAGACTCCACGGACACCGAAAGCAACAACGAGGAGCAGCGCGGCGGCCTCATCTACCTGACCAACCACATCAACCCGCACGCCCGCAACGGCCTGTCGCTCAAGGACGAGCACCGCGCCTACGAGCTGCTGAGGGCCGCCTCCGAGAACTCGCAGGACGCCCTCCGCGTGGTGAGCGTGAGCGGCGAGCAGATGAAGGTGTACAAGTGCGAACACTGCAGGGTGCTCTTCCTCGACCACGTCATGTACACCATCCACATGGGCTGCCACGGCTTCCGCGATCCTTTTGAGTGCAACATGTGCGGCTACCACAGCCAGGACCGCTACGAGTTCTCGTCGCACATAACGCGGGGCGAGCACCGCTTCCACATGAGCTAAGGAGGATTGCGGGACTGCCGCCTCTCCCTGCGCGGCCTGGGCTGGGCTGCACCCGGGAGTGCTGTGTTTTGATTCATAGGTGTTTTTCGATTTTTTTAAGTTGTTTGGGGTTTGATTTGCTTTTGAAAACAAGAAGATTTTTATTGTTGCAGGCAGGGAGGCACCAGGAGCACCCAGACCTGCTGTCTTCCCTAGAACTAGCTGAAATCCCTCACCTGTTGCTTCCTAGAATCCCCTTCTCCAAATAATTAGTCTCAGTGTTCAGAGAATTATACAAAACAGACCACAGCCTGGGAAGAAGTGAGCTGGTCCCTGTGCTAAGCACGGGGGTTGCACACCAGGTGTCTCCCCCAAGTCCCCAGAAGCAGCACGTGGCCCCGGGGTGTTTCTCTGCAGGTGAGCAAACATGGCCGGTGTGTGGCTGCGTGGGAGGTCTGGATGCAGTAGGGCCAGCAACCCGTGCCAGAGCCACGGCCCCCAGCCACGTGCATCTAGGGTGGAAAGCCTGCACTTTTTGAAAGAAAATAGTATTTTAAGTCATATTCTGCATAGGAAAGTGATTTGGGGAAACCTGTGTCTGTTAGGCTGCCTGGGCAAAGAGTGGGGGTGTTAGAGAGCCTGTTGGACGCTGCCTCGGTTTCCAGGCTTTGAGGATGTTGCTTCTAGGCTTGTGGCCAGGTGGGATGAACTTGGTCTTCCTGTGGGCATATCTGGAGAGCCCTGTTTCCTGCTTTTTAATTCCCATGCCTTTAAAAGCCTAAAAAGTCTATCACTACATTTTAAACACCAGTCCCGAAATTTGGACCTTAATTCTTTTTGAACCTTTCAAACAGTAAAATTCCTCAGAAACCAAAGCTTTATTTCAAATTCTACACTCGTTTCTCTGGTTGTCTCTTCCTTGCCTGGCTGGTTCTACGTAAGACCTGAAGCCTATTTTCCTACAGAAATCCAATCCTAGCCCTTGTTTTAATTACATACATTTGTTTGTAGCTGCAGGCCTGGATTTCTTAGTGTTAGTAAATTTCTTTCCCTACCTTTCTTGTGTATTATTCTTGTTTTAAAACCCATAAAATAATGGTTTAGAAGGATCATTAATTTTCACATTAGTGATATATGTGAAGCCCAGGGTCTCTGTCACTAATACATAGAACTCACCTGTTTGCAACTAAACTTTCAAACATGCTGAAACTCTCTACCATGAAGACAAAGCAGCATAGATAGGATGAGTGGCTCGCACCCAGTACTGCTGAAGGATATTAGAATTTGCCGAGCAATCGACTGACCGATCCGGACCCCCTAGAGAGTAATGCCCAGCAGGTCTCCCAGGAAAGGCAGGAGGCGCTGGAGGTGAGAACTCTGCCCGCCCGTGCTAAGGCATGGTTGCACTGAGGCCCAAGTCAGGTGTGTGGGAGTTCTAGTCGCACCCAGGAAGAGTGTCCCTCGAGATTAATCCTATCATTAAGGTCATTACTCCCAACCAAAGGATATACAATTTCAAATATTTATGGTACTTGTCTTTGCCAGAACTGTCCCAAGGTGAACATGAAGAAACAGAGGGGAAATTGTACATAAGCATCTCAGCATTTAATCTAAACCAGGGGTTCTTAGTCTCAGCACTGTTGACATTTCTAGCTGGATAATTACTTGTTGTGGGGAAACCTTCCTGGGCATTGGATGTACTCAGCAGCACCCCTGGTGGCGACCCAGTATATGCCAATAGCATCCCCGATTGATGTTCCCAAATGTCCCTGGGGGGGCGGGGAGCAGGTGAACACTCCTGGTTGGGAACCACTGATCTAAATGAATTCTAAACCAATAAAAGGTCTGGGAGGCCTTCCAAAAATAAAAGCACTTGAAGAATTTTCTCAGTCAGCAATATTAAGCATGACTTGTTCTCCTTTGAAATCATAAATTCTATAAATGAATTATTCCTCCTTCAGTCTTCAAAAATATATTTTCTTGTGGACATTTGGGTTTTTTTGTTTGTTTGTTTTGTTTTGAGACAGAGTCTCACTCTTTTGCCTGGGCTAGAGTGCCGTGGTGTCAGCGTAGCTCACAGCAACCTCAAACTCCTGGGCTCAAGCGATCCTCCTGCCTCAGCCTCCCGAGTAGCTGGGACTACAGGCATGCGCCACCATGCCCAGCTAATTTTTTCTATATATTTTTAGTTGTCCGATTAATTTCTTTCTATTTTTAGTAGAGACGGGGTCTCGCTCAGGCTGGTTTCGAACTCCTAAGCTCAAACAATCCGCCCGCCTCGGCCTCCCAGAGTACTAGGATTAGAGGCATGAGCCACCGCGCCCGGCCGACATTTGGGTTTTGTTCAGGGGATGGAATTTACAAAGATATCATTCTCAAGTCGTGGATTTCTTTGCTTACAGAATGGTGTGGCATTTTGGAACTGGAGTAAACAACATTGCAATAATTTACCTTCTGCCACACCAGTGCACTGAGTGAAGGGAGAGAGAGAGGCAGGGCCGTGGACAGCTGTCGTTCAGCATGCAATTGCAGAGGAACATACGCCTATCCAAGTTACTATCTTCGAAGATATAATATCTTCGATCTCTAAGAGCCTCCTTAGATTTCCGTTTTGCTACCCTGTTCTTTTCCATCCATCCCACAGAGACAGCTGGTTGAAGGGAAGTACTTTTCAAGTGGCAGCAAATAAAGCTTAACCCAGAACTGTAAATAGTGGCTGCGGGAATTCTTTTCTAAAATGCTTTTCCCTTTCCTCTCACGGCCTTTTATAGCCAATATAAATGTCTGTTTGCATACCTTTTGTTGTGGTTTTATATTGTAACACCATTTTTCTTTGAAAGTATTGTATTTAAAGTAAGGTTTCATATTATGTCAACAAGTAATTAAATTATGTTTGAAAGGTGGCCATATTATGTACCAAAAGTTGCTGAAGTTTTTCTTCTAGCTGGTAAATGTAGGATTTTGCATGACCCTACACTTTTTGTTCTGTGGTTTGTTCTGTTGTATGATGGTGTGAGTGTGTGTCTTGGGTACCACTGTGTACTGCTGTGTGTGTAGATTCCCTGCATCCTCACTGTATTTAAAATGAATATCAGAGACAGGAGGGTTACCAGTAGCAGGTTGACCTGTTGAGTACAGCTAGAAATCATTGTTTCTCATTCCCTCCCCCTCCCTGTCACCCCGACCCTGTCAGCCTCCCATGGTGTGGCAAGCCTGGACCTCCGCTCCTTGCCCCGCGATCCTTCTGTAATTCGTACCTAGATGGTGTGATTGTCCTAATTCCAGAGTCACTAAAAATCATCGCATTATCACCAAAGGCCATGGCCCAGCACCAGTTGTTTCAGGTACCAGCATGTTCCATTTCAAATTTAGAGTCAACCACATAATAAAATCTTAGAATCTTCATTGAGAAAGAGAGCTGCCTGAGATACGGGTTTATTTTATGGGTTTTCCCCCCTATTTTTGTGCTTTTTCTTCTTGTTTTGTTTTGTTTTGACTGCATTGTGACTCTTGTAGCATCCTCTTCTTGCCAAAACAAAAGCCAGATGAACTGGACTCCATGTAGACCAGTCATGACACAAATGTATTTCTCCATGCTTCACTTCTTCGATTCCAGCAATAATGAATGGCCAACTCTATTTAAAATCCAGATCTCTCTCTTTCATTTCAATGTTTTTTACTTTAAAATGAGCCAAAATTAGACTTATTTAAGATGTACAGGCATCAGAAAAAGAAGCACATATGCTTTTGGTGCAATGGCACTCACTGTGAACACATGTAATCAGATTTTAATATGCAATACTGTTTCCAGTACTTTCTAATACACTTTTTTATAATGTTGTGTGTGGTGATTGTTAAGGTCAAATCTGTTTGTACCCAATACAGCTTTAGGTCTTCAACTGCCCTTCTGGCAAGTACATGCACAGGATTGTAAATGAGAAATTGCAGTCCTATTTCCATTCTGCCTCTGTGGTGATGTTAAATTACTGCCGTTCGGCTGTGAACAAGGGATGTACCATTGGAGGAATAGAGTATCCTTTCGTACACATTTTGAAATGGTTCTTCTGTAGTCACAGAACAAATAAATGCAACAAATACTCTGTCTGCCCTATCCCACGAAGTCCGCACCGGTATAAGAGCAGGAATCTGCTGTAGACTCCCTCCCAGTTAGATCCCAGTCGTGAGGAAGAAGAGATGGGCTGGGGGCAGTCGCAATACAAGTTGGAAGTATTAAATACATGTAGATCATACATGTACCGTGTCGCTGCCAGCACGAGAGTTCAGCTCAGCAGACTGCCCACTGCCCACCTCTCACTGTGCTGGGCTTGGGAATTCTAAGTCCACCGTCGTGAGGGCAAGTGGGGGTAGACAGCAACAAATACTACATTTCCACCTCTCCACGGCACACCCCAGAAGTGCCGTCAGTGGCCCGGGCCCAGCGTGGTGGGAGCACAGAGGACAAAGACAGTGACTACACCTTCAGGAGAGTCGCTGTGCAAAGCTGCACTCCATGCCAGGGCTGGGCCAGGGCCGGGAGGCTCGCCGGGCTCTGCGGCAGAGCTGCACTGTTGCAGACCCTCTCCCTTTGGACGAGTACTCAGACCTCATTTGGGTTCAGATCTAGTAAGGCGAGGCGGCTGACTCTACGGGGCACGACACTGGATCCAAACCAGGCGAAACTCCAGTGAAATGGCGTGTGCTGGGCTTCACATCAGGCCCTGCCATTGGTACCCAAAGAGGACTCCAGCAATGTCTCTTGCCAAGGCAGCATCTTTGGGAGATCGCCTCACGGAGCGTGTTGTTGACGTATATATATACATATACATGCGATAAGGCCACCCATTTAAAAATGTGTTCCATCATCCATAGGTACACCTTGTATATTTTTCAGCAATCACAAAGCAAAAGAATAAAGAAGATCTACACTTAGTTTAAAAATAACCTGGGCTCAAACTAAGGGGAAAAAGTAGTTCAAAAGGATGGGCGGCGACAAGAGGGTGAGGAACTTGTCTGGGTGCGTTTGCAGAGCTGTAGGTCGCAGCCTCTCAGCCCAGCGCCTCAGGCAGCTCAATAAATATGCTTTGAAGTCATCAGTCTCTGGCCAGTGCCTCCCGGAGGCCAGCGACACAGTGACATGAGACAGAATTTCCAAAACTGTTTTAAGAGCCACGGGTAGGACGATAGGTTGCATTTCTTAGTTTTCACTACCTTTTACGTGGCCACGGAATTATTCTCAGCGTAGCCTTTCGATGCTGCAAGCCTTCAGTATTCATTGACCTCCTTCTGGCTCCTGAAGAGATGCTGGAAACAGCCTCTTCTCTGCATTTCGCTTCTGTTCCCGAGCAGTGGTCTAAATTTAAAAGTCCAGCCGATCTGAAATGTTAGTGGGGAATTTGGGAATTGGGAGCTGAAGGTCAGGATTGGAGCCGGTTTCCGGTGGATTCGTCACATCTTCTACCAAAGTAAAACATCTTGGAGGTTTTGTGACTCCTTGGTAAAACCTCACATTCTCATTGAAAGGACACGAATTCTCAAAGAATAAAATCCCTTTGGCTGTTTCCAAAAGTCATGTCTTTTTTTTTTTTAATGGCCTCTGAACTCCAACACAGGCTAGGCACAGAAGGGACCCTCAAGCAATTGAGCAATTGGTGAAAGAGCAGAGGAAGTTCTCAGACAACTGCATCAGGAATTCCCCATTCCTCCAAAGCCCAGCGCATTGTTCTGAAAACTTCTGGCCGTTTCTCTGCACCGCAAAGCAGAGCAACAGCCACTGGCACAAGGTCACCTGCAGGGGTGAAGCCAGAGTTGCTGGTGCTTACACAGTGTCTGCGTTCTCTGCCTTTCCCCACATTGTGCACCGCACCTTGCTCTACGGAGGTGGGAAGGGGCTCCCTCTGGCTCCTAGAACACCAACACCGCCGTGGGCATCCCAGACACCCGCTGGCTTCTCCCACCATCAACCAGCCCTGAGCAAACCCTACCCCCAGCCGGGGCTGCCCTGAGACTCCCTTCCCCTGCAGCCCTGCCCAGACTCCCATGCCTGGGACCATCTCCCATGACTTTGGTTCTCAAATGCAGCTCAGAATCACCTGGCTCATTGTTAAAAATGCAGTTTCCAGAGTCCCCTCCTGACACTCTGGATCCAGAGGTCTAGACGCAGCCCACCCACCAGGTGTGTGGCCAGCCCTCCGCGGCCTGCCAAACAGACTCAGTCCTGCTCCCCTTGAGGCAGGTACAGCCTTGCCTCTCTTCCTGAGCCCAAACCCATTTTTTGAGGGGGGAGGAATAATTAATAGTTCCTTTCTCTCCTGAGTTTGAAACAACCCAGAGATAGATAAAAGAATCAAAGTGGGAAACCAAAATACTAGCATTGTTACTCATGAAACCTAGATTCCAGGACACGGCTTCAGTGTGTGGCCACAGGGGTGTCCTAACACTCGTCCTGCTTCAGACAGACTCGCCTGCCCGGCCACTGGCAGCACCTCAGCGCAGGCACCCCCAGAAAAGGCTGAGCCCTGCCCTGCAGGGCCAGGGAGAGGGGCCAGAACCCGCATCCTACAGGCCGCAGGTCCCCGTGGAGCAAGCGGTCCCGTGCTCAGCTCCTGCACCCAGACTCAGGTCATTCTTCACCTCCCAGGGGACCCACTGGGGCTTCACTGAAGTCCATCTACATGGAAAACAGGAGACAAGACAGGAGAGTCCCCAGCTGTCCTGGCTTCCCCACCTGGATCTCAGCCTCTCTCCCCCTGTGGAGAACTCAAGCCCGTTCAGCCAACCTCTGTGGCCTAAGCCGCGGTGAGGGAAGGCCATGCGCCAGCTGTCATTGGCTTCCACAGTGACTCACAAGCTGATTACATCTCAGCCCACGGCCACCTTCAACACGAGCCTCCTAATGGCCTCCGTGCCTCCTGGGTCTCCTTAGTCCAATCCAGCCTTCATGAGGTCTCAAGAGT